CAAAGGTGTGTTGTCCTGACTTTCCTTTTGTTTGATCTTCTAAGAAAAATATCTGTGATGAACACAACATCTCTAGATATGAACCTGTTGTTGTTATTAAGATCAAGAAGAATATATCCTTTGCATGCTCTAGCATATCCCAGAAATGCACACTTACTTGATCTGGGATCCAACTTTCCTTTGTTAGGACTTGTATTGGCAGCATAGACCAAACATCCATAAGGCTTGAGTCTGGTGTAATCTGGTGGCTCACCATAGATCCTCTCAAAAGGAGTACCTCCATTCAAAGCCACACTTGGCAGTCTGTTGATTATATGTGTGGCAGTAAGGACTGCATATGGCCAATACTTCATGTCCATCTCTTACTGAAATATCATACCTCTTGCAATTTCTAATATTTGCTTGTGTTTTCGTTCTACAACCCCATTTTGCTGTGGTGTGTAGACACAGCTCTTCTGGTGCACAATTCCAAGTTCTTCAAACATTGTTTGGCATTCATGACTGAGAAATTCCTTCCCATTATCACTTCTCACTTGTTTAATAACCTTCCCAAACTGAGTTTTGACCATTACTATAAACTTCTTCAGTAGGTTTGTTGTTTCTCCTTTTGTTCCCATGAGAAAAACCCAAACACTTCTACTATAGTCATCCACTACTGTGAGAAAGTATGGAGTGTTAAGAACTAATTCCTCCCTGCAAGGCCCCCAGATATCCAAATGTATCAATGCAAAAAACTCAGTTGTTTTAATCTGACTATATGGAAATGGCAGCCTGTGTTGCTTGGCTTTGATGCAAATTTCACAATTCTTCACATTGCTTTCTGCCTGTGTATGACATTGACCCTTGAGGAAAGACAACTGCTTCAGCACTCCATAAGAGGCATGTCCAAGGATTTTATGCCACTCCATAATTGATGTTTTGCAACTCAAACTCATATCTGTTGGCCTTTGATGACTGTCTAAAACATACAGCTTACCTATCAGCTTTCCTGTTGCTACCACTTCTCCTGTCCTAATTTTCTAAAAACAGCATCCCTCTGAGGTAAAGCTACACTCCAGATGAGAGTTGATGCAAACTTGAGTGACTGATAGCAAGTTATATTTGAATGATGGCACAAGTAGAACTTCATGCAATATCAGGTCCTGTGTTATTACTACCTCTCCAATTTTTGTCACCATTTTGGTAGTTCCATCAAGCATGTAAACCACAATTGGTGACTGCAAACATATGATATTTCTCATTAGCCCTTGATTCACACACATGTGTTTACTTGCCCCAGTATCTATGACCCAAGCATCTCCACTCTGTGCATCAAACATTGACAAAGCATAGTGCTTCTCTTCCCTATTTGTGTTAACTGCAAAGTTGACAAATTGTTCTTCTTCTTTGTATGGCTTTCCCTTCTCACTATCAGGTGGAATTCTTCCCAATATCTTTGCTACTTCTTGAGCCAATGTGTTAATGTCTCCCATTGAATTGGTTCCTGTACCTTGTGACTTGAAGCTACTTTCTCCTAGCACCACATTGGCTGTATTCCTTTGCCTTCTATCTTTGTTGTTGTCCTTGAACCAGTCAGGAAATCCATGCAATCTGAAGCATGTCCCTTTGTCATGCCCATTCTTTCCACAGTGTTCACCGAAAAGTTTAGACTTCTCCTCCTTTGTGAGCCTTTGGCCATCTCTCACTGACCTCTGATTTTGAGGCCTGAAATTACTGTCTCTACTATTTCCACCAAACTTCACTGTCATTGCTACATTACATTTGGTCATAATTCTCCAGATGTGGAGTGTACCATTCTTTGCCTTTCTGCAGATAAAACCATAGAGTATGCTCTATTTACAGCCGACAATGGATCCATCAGTAGCAATTGATTTTTGATATGATCATAGCTATCATTTAGTCCCATTAAAAACTGCATGAGCTTAGTTTGCATATTTTGCTCTGCAGCTACCTTTCCAATTTCACATTTGCAGGTTAGTTGTGGTACCAAATGCCCTAACTCATCCCACATCCTTTTCAGCTTGTTGAAATAAACCATAACAATATCATTTCCTTGTTTGTGACCTGCAATATCCCTCTGCAATTGATAGATCAAGGGACCGTTGCTCTCCCCAAATCTCTGGCATATTTCATCCCAAAGTTCCTTTGCCGATTCAACATACATAAAAGCATCTACTACTTCCTTCGACAATGAATTCAAAATCCAAGTGATAACCATCCAATCCACTTTTCTCCATTTTTCGAAATTAGGATCATTTTCATCAGGAATTTCAAGCGAACCATTGATAAACCCTAACTTTGTTTTAGCACCAAGTGCATCTCTTCCAAGCCAAAAAATTTGATCCAGTAAGCTGGTGCGATACGAGCTGCATACCTGGATTATCGGAGGGGCTGAGAAATAGAGGATTATCGTCACGTGATTCTGAGCTAGTTCCAGCTCGCGCATTGAGCATCGGCCATGCCTCATTCCGATTGAACGCCATTGATGAGGGAGCTCAATCTTCGGCAGGATCTGTACAAGCTCTGGATACCATGTAGACTCGCAAATTATCGAATGAGAGAGAAAATTTTATTCATCGTGTACGATTATGAGCATGCAGCTCAATCTTCGGCAGGATCTGTACAAGCTCTGGATACCATGTAGACTCGCAAATTATCGAATGAGAGAGAAAATTTTATTCATCGTGTACGATTATGAGCATGCAGAGTACATTTATAGCGCTCACGAAGGGAAACGACGTCGTCCTTGAACAGACTCAAAACGACGTTGTGCGCACTTAACCAAAAGAAAGAAAATGCAGCAACAGTTTAACAAAGTCGTCACACGACTTTACAACATATGAGAAAAAGGAAAAACAAATAGAAACAATTATAACTACTCTCTCACACAAAGAAGCTCGATTATTATTCATAGAGGCTGCTGATTTTCTACATCTTTAAAGTCTAATCCTCCAATATTAGATTTACTTAGTTAAATCTTCTTTTTTTAATTGATCTAGTTATGATATATTTTTTTATTTTTTTATTTTTATTCTTGATTACTTTCTTCTTTATTATATCGCTTTCTGTGTAAATACACGGATTAAAACTAGTAATATATAACTTTTACCAATGACATTTGACAAATCTCCAAGTAGTGCATTCAAACTAAAGATGAGAAAAAGGGTTGAGATCATGTGGGGCAGACAAATATCCTTATGGATCTTTAGTACGTAGTGGCATGCATGCCCACATAACAGATTCAACGTGGAAATTATAACTTTAGCAATGCTGACCAAAACTAATGTTTTATACACAAATATAGAAAGCCTTTACACGTCGGGTTAAAGCTTTAGTATTAAACATTCACGTGTTGGAAGACTATGGCGGCTTTTCACTTTGCCTCTACTGCTAAGAAACAGTTTTATTAAGGGATGGCGTAGAGTACACAGGATTATTAATGTAAAGAAATGCAAATGACAAAATATTTAAGGTTACACAAAGCAGTGCATGAAATTCAATTATTTTACATTTACATAATATTTCAAGTTTTTCTTGAAACCATATCTGTTAACATAATAATCAGTATATGTGTTGTGCCACACAAAATCTCAAATTGCTTGACCGCTCCTCTCGAATCGGGTTGGGCCTCCTCGATCACCGATATCTGCAAAATACGTCGGGGGTGGTCCCGACATGGGCACTCCGACGCTCAGGTCAGTAGGATGTCCGAAAAAATGACTGAGTATTGAGATATTGCGTTTGTGTATGTGTATTGTGTAAAAATAATGAACTTGTGCCTGTTTATAGGTGAGGTTATACCTTGGTTGAAGAGTTCTTGTTGGACAAGAAGTCTTTCTAATGTCTACCTCTAAGTTATGTCAGATATCTTATATATTCAGAGTCCTTATCACTACAAACTTCCTCATAACTTGATCACGAAGCCGCCTCGCCAAGCTCTAATCCCTTCGGCAGAAACCTGTGGCCGAGGTGCCTAGGTGATCTCATCCGCCTAGCACACCGAATTCTGGTATTCGACCCATCCACCTCACGGGCGATCGCGGCCAACTGTGACTAACCTCGACATTATGACCAGTTCACCGTGAACTAATACTTATGGCCGTATCAATATGTATTGAAACAACTCGTTTCACCACATCCAAAATAAATATAAACAAAAAGAAAAACAACACAAGATTACAAGCCTTGTGATCAATTCTTTGAACTCTTAGTTTTTTTGCCATTGAATGTAGTCAAGTTGAGGCTATGTCAGCCTATGCAATTCATTTCTCATTCTCAAAGGCATCTAAACATTTTAAATTGCATACAAAATAGTATATATTTTCTCTCATCATTGGAAGTTGGTTGTGATTAGTCACAAAGGAAATTAATATGAAAGCACAACTTTTTAAAATAAATAAATAAATAAATAAGAGTTATGCCACACATGCATACAGTCATGATGACTTAAAAAAAAATTTAATTGTAAAAAAAAAAAAGAGCTAATTACAATTGAATAAATTGAAAAAACTTCCACCACCACCCTAACTTTTATCACAATATTAATTATATACCAACTAGTAAATTAATTACAAAAGAATTTTCTGACACTACAGCTCTTATCCTAACAATATATAGAAAAGTAAAAGCAAGGTATAAAAAAGATGAATGATTCAAAAAAGATGTTGTAAAGCTGATGTGTTAAGTTTTTGATGACCCAAAGCTGAGTCATGCAACTGAAAAAAGTAGACCCCAAACTGTCAAAACATCCCTTTCTTTTGCCATATAAATATTCACATTATGCCTAAGCAGTTTGAACCAACACAGAACATTTCATTTCATTTTTATGCAACAAAAAAGAAGCAAGTAAAATGGATCAGATAAACAGCAAATCAAGAAGTGTGATGACAAACAGCAAGCATATTACACATGCTCTTGAGATGTCATCAGAATATAATAAAATTTGCTTAAGAAGCTCCCCAAAAGCAGTTTTACCAGGCCCAGCTGCTCAATATCAACTTATGCCATCTCCATCGAAACGTTATTCCAAGATTCGACACAGTAAGCTCACTGTCGATAATTTTTCAACAGCTTTCTGATTAGTGAAAAAATGTTTCAAACTTTGATAATCGGTTTGAATGCAGGTGGAGTGAATTCAGTGATTGCTAAGATGATCAAACTCGGTGAATGCGTTGATAGTTTTTCTAAAGGAATCCGGGAGCATGGTAAGAACTCGTTCAAAGGTTTTCGAGTTGTATATAAAAAAATCTCAATTCATACTAAAAAAATCTAACTCAATTTTAACTCAACTCCAATATTCTCAATATTTTATTAATATAATTAGGTAATACCGACCAATCATTCTTACACATATGACACATCAACAAACATGCTGACATTTTGGCAATATATTGTGTTATGCAGTGAAACTAAGTCCCAAGTTAAGTGAGACAGTGAAAGGAAAGTTAAGCTTGGGTGCAAGAATACTTCAGGTTGGTGGAGTAGATAAAGTGTTCAAGCAGAAATTCAACATTAGAGATAAAAACAATCATGAGGAAACACTTTTAAAGGCTTCTCAGTGTTATTTATGGACAACTGCTGGGCCGATAGCAGGGCTGCTGTTTATATCCAATAACAGAATTGCATTTTGCAGTGAGAGATCCATCAAAATCTCATCCCAAACTGGGAAGCTTGTTAAAGTACATTACAAGGTTATGATCCCACTCAGAAAAATCGACACAGCCATTGAAGCTCAGAGCGCAAAAAAAACAACGACACAAAAGTACGTGCAGATAGTGACAGAGGACAACTTTGAATTCTGGTTCATGGGCTTTTTCAACCTTCGCAAAACTTTGAACTGTCTCCACCAGGCAATCCATCAATCCAGATGAGACTTTCTCGAATTATTTAGACTTCTCAAGATCCATATTGATATTTTTCAATTTGTTTGTTTGTCCGATGTCCAATATATCGATAAGCTAGCTAAATTTACTATATGTACTTTGTATAAATTTGTAACGAAACTCGGAGGCCTGTGGTGTTGTAATTAGTGTCAGCTTGTTGTTTTCGAGCAAAACCAAGTTTGACGTAAACTCTCCCGACTGCACAAACATTTTCCAACAATCCATTTGTTCAGTTCTGCAAATATTACTAACAGAAAATGGAATGCCAAAATTGTCTAAAAGCAGTTGCAGAGGTTTCAGTGGCTAATTCATTGTAATGTAATGATGAGTCACAAAGCAGATATGCCAGCTCAAAATGGTAACATTGCCATATCAGAATCACAAAGGGGTTCATCATTTCAAAGGATACTAAACTAATAAATAAAGGAAAGGTTTGAAGAAAGAAGTAAAATAAAACTTGGTTTGTTACAATTTAATAGTATATATGGGAGATGGTTTTCAAACAACTGTCTAATAATAGTAGAGACCCACCCAACTGTCATAATCTACTCAGAATCATGAGGTGGCCACACAATCAGATTTAGAAATAACAAGATAATAAAAATAGAAAGTAGAGGGAAAAAAGACACAGCAGATTTTGAAAGACCAGCTTTTTGATGCATTCACTTTAAAGGTGACACAAAGTTGAGTCATTAATAAGTACATGAAAAGGCCAAACAAGAACAAGCTCTTGTTTGGTGATATTGAATTGACACATTTTCTTTTGTTATTCTATTGCTTATATAAATGAATACAAGGAGCTATATAAAGCCTATAAATTAAAATTACATGAAATTATAATAAAACAAATACTCACAACTATAAGGAAAAATTGCTTTTGTACCGATTTAACGATTCTATTTTTCGTAAGTATAATACTTAGAAAAGTCTCAAAACCTTTTTAAGGTGAATGAGAAATTAATTCTAAGTGTTATTTTTTAATTAATCGAGTTTAAACAACTCAAAAGGTTGTAGGGTTCACAAACATTATATTTTAATAAAGGCAAAATTGCATTTTGTGCCCTGTAACTATACGTGTGTGGCAAATGTGGACAGCTTCTTTTTGGTTTGGCAAAAGTGCCCCAAAACTTATTAAAACCCGGAATTCGTGCCCATTTACCTACAAGTTACCGGATTTGACCGGTTTTTCGTGTGACAAAACAGGACAGTAACTTGTTAAAATTCAAAATTTGTACCCAAATTGGGTACGAATTACGAGTTTTAACAAGTTTCAGGGCACTTTTGCTAAACCAAAAAGAAGTTGTCCACATTTGCCACACACTCCTAGTTACGGGACATAAAATGCAATGTTGCCTTTAATAAATGTTTGGACAAACTAAACGAGCCATAAATATGCATTCTGTATGCTAGAATTGTAGAGGGGCTCGTTGGGGACAAGTAGGAAAAAAAGAACTCGATTCCGAGTCCGTATGAGCTCGTACGAGCCCGCGGGGCACGGGCGCGCAACTGGCTGCGGAAATCGAAGGGTCGCAACCCTTCGTGACCATAAGGTATCTTTTGGCCACTAGATACATCCGTTCTTGTTCGGACACGTCCCAAAAGGTGTCTTCTGACACTTAAACGTCTTGGAGGTGTCTCCTTACATCTATAAATACCCACTAACATGAAATCATTCAAGACATCAAATAATTTTATAACTTTTGCATCCTTTTTACAAAGTTCATATTCATCTTGTGTTCTTTGTGTTCTTTCCTATCTTGAGAGTTCCGAAATTTAAGTATTGTTCGTCGAAGGTTTGTGTATTTGAGTTACCACTATACACAAATCAAAAGTCGTTGTATCCTGGAGGCGTTAGTCGTGAACCGTGGATAATATACGGGGCTATTTCGTCTTAAGGAGAGCGTATCTTACGTGCCTCGACTTTGTTCGTTTTACCAAAATTCTATTTATTTCTTAAAGCCATTTTCTTGAAATTCACATACAAAACAGAAATTTATAAACTACAATCTTAAGAGGAAATATTGTGAGTTCATAAGATGGCAACCGAAGGAAACCAAATAAATGCTCAACCTACCGCTATACCGATGGTAGCTACTCCTGTCCAAGGTGAGAGACCGCCGAAGTTCAATGGCTCTGATTTCAAGAGGTGGCAACAAAAGATGCTTTTCTACCTCACAACTCTCTTCCTCTCTCATTTTCTTTCGGAGGACCCTTTGATCGTCCCCGAAAGTGAGACCGACATGCAAAAGCGTACGGCCTCGGATGCTTGGCATCCCAATGATTTCTTGTGTAGAAATTATATCCTTAACGGACTAGACGATTCTCTCTATAATGTTTATAGTCCGATTAAGACGACAAAGGAGTTATGGAATTCCTTGGAGATGAAGTACAAGACGGAAGATGTCGAGATTAATAAATTTCTCGTCAGAAAATTCCTAAAGTACTTAATGGTGGACACCAAGTCGGTGGTTAGCCAAGTTCAAGAGATTCAAATCATCTTTCACGATTTGTTAGCCGAAGGATTGATTGTGAATGAGGCCTTCCAAGTTGCGGCTATTGTTGAAAAGTTACCACCACTTTGGAAGGACTTCAAAAACTATCTCATGCATAAACGCAAAGAGATGACATTGGAGGACTTGATTGTTCGACTTTGAATAGAGAAAGATAATCAAAAATCTGAAGTAAGGGCCAACTGGAGCGACTTCGAGGCTAAGGCAAACTTGGCCGAGTCAAGCTCTAATAAGAAGCGCAAGAGAACTTCAAAGGGAAAGCAACCTCAAACGAGCACCAAGAAGTTCAAAGGGAATTGCTACAATTGTGGTAATCTGGGCATCTTGCGAAAGATTGTCGTCTCCCGAAGAAGGGTAAAGATAGCGCACATATTGTCGAGGATAAATCTGTTCCCATTGACTTATCTGAGCTCGATCTAACCGCCGTGGTCCAAGAAGTTAACTTGGTTAATAATAATCCATGAGAATGGTGGGTCGATACGGGAGCAACTCGGCATATTTGTGCGGATAGAGATATGTTCTCGTCTTATACCCCTACCGACGGAAGGAAGCTATTCTTGGGCAACTCTTCGACATCAAACATCGGGGAACGGGAAAGGTGGTGCTGAAAATGACTTCGGGCAAAGACTTGACGCTAACGGAAGTGCTGCATGTCCCGGACATCCGTAAGAACCTTGTATCCGGTGCTCTTTTGAGCAAAGCCGGTTTTAGATTAGTCTTTGAGGCTGATAAATTTGTAATGACTAAGAATGGTGTCTTCTTAGCGAAAGGGTACCTAGATGAGGGTCTTTCTAGGATGAATGTAATGAATGTTATCCGCCAAGAGGCGAAGAATAAAGAAAGTATTTCTTATTTGTTGGAGTGTTCTAATTTATGGCATGATAGATTAGGACATGTGAACTTTAACACAATTGAAAGGTTGGTGAATTTGGAATTGATACCAAAAGTTAAAATTGATTCACACAACAAGTGCGAAACATGTGGTGAAGCAAAAGTGGCTAAAACACCATTTAAACCGGTGAAGAGAAGCACTAGTCCACTCGAGTTAATTCACACTGACATATGTGATTTAAAATTTGTGCAAACTAGAGCGGGGATGAAGTATTTCATTACATTCATAGACGATTGTACAAAGTATTGTTATTTTATCTACTAAAGAGTAGAGACGAGGCATTAGAGGCCTTTAAGACGTATAAAAATGAAGTTGAGAATCAACTTAGTCGAAAGATCAAAGCGATTCGAAGTGATAGAGGAGGCGAGTATGTAGCCCCGTTTGAAGTGCTCTACAAAGAGTCCGGTATTATTAATCAAACGACGGCTCTGTATTCACCGCAATCTAATGGAGTGGCCGAGAGAAAGAATCGGACACTAAAAGAGATGATGAATGCGCTTTTGATAAGTTCGGGCTTACCCCAAAACTTGTGGGGAGAAGCGGTTCTTTCGGCAAATTATATTTTGAACAAATTACTCCACAAAGGTAACGACAAAATGCCATATAAGTTATGGAAAGGTCATAGACCTACCTACAAATACTTAAAAGTGTGGGGGTGTTTGGCAAAGGTTGAAATACCTAAACCGAAACAATTGAAAATTGGACCAAAGACTATTGATTGTATATTTATTGGTTATGCAAACAGTAGTAGTGCTTATCGATTTTTGGTGCACAAATCAGAAATTTTGGAGATTCATAATGGAACAACTATGGAGTCTCGAAATGCGGTGTTCTTTGAGAATATTTTTCCTCGTAAAGACAAGGAAGAAATAATTTCGAGAAAAAGGACATTTGAAGAGGCCAAGCTACCTGTAACGCCCCAAAGATTTTTAAAGACAATCCCGGACTTATCCAAAAATCTTGTTTTAAAATTTCGAAAACCATTTATCGATTCATAAAACATTTGGCGTTACTTGAGAACTTTCCAAGGTTAAACACATAATCAGCATAAGGGAAACAAGAATATTCAACATAATTCAAGTTCTAAGACTAGATTTCAACATATCTAGCAATAGGATTGTCAACATAATCCTAACTGATAAAAATATTCCACATGGTTCAACAGTTCAACCAATCCCGAAAGCAATAGGGATGAATAACAAAGTCTGATAATCTCAACATAAATATCAAAGCAAACGGAAGCAATATAAAGCAATAATAATGTTTGACCACCCACTCGTCTTCAGTCTCGTCATATCCAACACTTGCTTAACCTGCATCAATGAAGAGCAGGTGTGGATGAGCACAAATATAAACGAGGTGCTCACCACTATGCATAATATATTGGTAAGAAGCCTATACTAGAGTCATATGCAAGTACATGGTCAAAAGACATAACACACCACTCTCCTACTCATCACTATACTCATGTGCACACCTATCAAAAGCCGCCAGGGGTAAGCCCAAACTCGTCAGCGGGAGTACAGTCGTGCCGAGGTTCAACATCAACGGTCACGGCCCATCGACTAGGCTAAAATGAGTCTACC